TTTTTTTCTCAGAAGCACCACTCATTTTTTTCTCCCCCTACTTTACAAAAATAGTTTGGGCCAAAGAAAGGATGCAAAAGTAGACTTTGTTACTGTTGGCTGATAATGTTAAATCAGTCTTAGCAGACATTTGAATATTAGATTTTAACAAGTGTGTGTTCCAGCCTGGAGCCTGGATTGGTGGACTGGGGAAGCGTATTTTTGTATGGGTTATGAATTCAGCCTTTATGAAGTTAGGGGTTATGAAGCACTGTACTAATTTACTAATCTGGGGTTTACTTGTATCCTGTTTCTAAGCATTCCTCTCCTAAACAAATCACCTTTCTTCACTCAACACACAAGAGTGTTGTTGCCGGTCCAGGTATCACGGGTGCTGATGCTGGGGAATGTTAACTCCAGCTCCAAGAAGCAGCTGGGCTTGACAATCAATGTCATCCAAAGCAAATATAGATTCTAGTACTTTACATATTTATTTAAATTCTAAGAAGTACATTTAGAACATGCATAATTAGCTGGGGCTACAGAGTTAGGTTTTCAGAAGGCATATTTACCTAGAGAAATTACGCATATTTCATAAAAAGCAAACACCAAGTAAAAAGAACAGTCTATCTCTGGCTTGATGTTTGATGTGCTTTTCCAGTGAAAAGAATGCATTCCTTCAGTAATCATCTAGTTTTAAATTAAAACATGGTATCTTCAGAAGTATATGATGTTTATTATTAACAAATATTGTACATGGAGTTCTAAGGAAAACAGATATCTTTTTCTAATGTGCAAAAATTGAAGTTTGTAAATTGAAACAGTAAATTAAAGTTTGCTTTTTAAGTCATTACACTAACTCTAAAGTGAAACTGTACAAGGCGGGAACTTGATCCTGTGCATAGTTTGTAAATAAATACAATGAAATGGACAAAAATATGGGAGGGAGAGGGACAAGCAGGGCAAGCTGAGCCCTGTGTAGTTGGTGACAGCAGACTTCTTACCTCTCTTACTTAGAGCTGGAGAACTGTGAAGACAAGTTTGTTCATTCTAAAGTGGAACCAAAGTCCGAAGAGGTGACAGGTCACGTAGCTGACTAGTGTTAGAAACCAGAGTTTACACTTCTGTCTCACTAGCCTTTTAAATAAAGGTCATAAATTCTGAGACAACATGATAACTGATATATGACCCTGATATTGCACAGTTACCACAAAATAGGAATAGGGGTTGGTTTAGCTCTTTATATATGTTCTCTCTTTTTCATTTCTATAGCAATTTGAGAAAACCAAGGCTTAGAGACTTTCTCACTGGCTGACAGTAACATCGTTACCCAGTGGTAGAGCCATTTCAATGAAAAGCATTTGTTTCTGGTTTATCATAAGAATTTTACAGGAAGCTCAGAATAGAGAGGACACGGTTATCCCCTCCCAAGGATTTACATATTAGATCCTTAGAAGCTAGCATTCAAGATGGCCATGTTGGAAAATGTTTTTGATTACAGCACTTAGTAAGAAATATAGTTGTACTGAAACACATGCATAATTATTTAAATATGTTAATTATAGATGAAACAAGTTTTATGAAATCACTTCATAATTTTTCATTGTTTTTTTCCCATTAACTTTTGGCAATTCCACATATTTATAAATTTTGAACTCTTTTTGCACAAAAATGTACTTTTAGAATTTCATTTTCCATGGCCCTTTAGAAGTACCTGTTACCAGAAATGCCCAGTGGGTTCTTTCCTCAGCTTAGTATAGAAATAAAAAGCCGGGAATCTGTTGCAAACAGAAAAGTTTATTTGCGAAGGGACCAGGGGAGCAGGGAAGGGAGAGGAAAGGGAAAGCACCTCCGGAAAGGAAGCCGGGAGGTGGGGTGCCTCTCGAAAGAGGAGGGAGAGAGAGACACCAAAGGTTTGAGGAAGGGTCTAGGGGTTTTAAGCCTTCCTTGACCCCTCCTTGTTGGGCGGGGAACCTACAGGTGAGATGTTCCCCATTGGTGGTCTCTTAATTAGGAAATGGGTGGGCAATGCTGGTGCCGCCCACTTGAAGGTGTGGCCAAGACCTCAGCAGGCCTGGATGGTCTCAGTACCCATGTGTGCTGATACTTTCTTTTCTAGATTGTTCTGTTTTTTAATTTATTTATTTGCTGAGATTTATTTATTTGAAATTCAAAGTTACTGAGAGGGACATACACACACACATACACATCACGCACACACAGAGATCAGTATTGTATCTGTAAGGAGTTATTAGAATAGCCCACGCTGGACCCAGCGCCATTTCTTCTTACTCACAGCTCATGAAGTTCGTGCCAGTCTAGCCATCCACCAATCAGATGTAACCTGGCATTCCACCTGAGAATCCCACCCCCAATCTCCCAGCCCCTTCCCCAACCCCGCCCACTCACCAATCATCCCTAGGCATTCACCTGCAGTTGCCAATCCCCTGGGGCCTGCCCTCAATCCCTCCCAATCCCCACCCCCCACACCTGGCAGACAAAAAGGCCCCCAGGTGCGGCTCTCTCTTCTTTGCTCTTCCCCTCTCTCCTCCTTCTGGCCTCCCTTCCCCTTCCCCTTTTCCTGCCCCACTGGAATAAACCTCCTAAGATACCTCGTTGCATCTGGTGTTTTCAGCTCACAGTAAAGAACCAGGTTGTGGGAATTAGCTGCGCGTAAAATATCGTAATATCATATGAACTAGAACTAGAACTCTAACCCTTTTTAAATAACTAACAGTATCTACTGGTTCACTCCCTAGATGGACTGAGCCAAAGCCAGCAGGAGGGAGCTTCAGCTGAGTCTCCCATGTGGGTAGTAGGGATCCAAGTGCTTGGGCCATTTTCTGCTGCCTTTTCAGGCTACTGTGGGAATAATCTAGTGTCCAAATGGGGTGCCAACACTTCAGGCAGCACTTCATACGCTACACCACAACCCTGGCCCTGGTATGCCTTTTAACCTTCCTCTTGATCCCCCTAAACAGAGACTCTTGCTGCTTGAATCAGTCATCTGTGTTGCTTCTGGGTTCTATTGTTAATGTGGTTCATTTCTTCAAATGAGGAAACTTAAATTGAGAGTGGGGAGGAACTTGCCCAATGACAGTGCTGAGAATCAAATCCAGAGACTGGAAGCTTTCAAGTCCAAGAGTCTAATATTACAGAGCTTCTTCTACACCCAAAAGATTGTTCTGATATATTTCCAAAATACTTTTGCCAGTGAAACACTAAGGGAAGTTTAACCACACAGGAGACAGGAGGACTTAAGTACAACCTCTCCCTGACCAACACTGAAAGCTAACTCAGGTTTGCTCTTGTGGAGTGTTTACCTCCCAGGGTTTGGAGAAGCTGTTCTCCATGGCGAAGGTATCAGAGTTAAGACATCAGTGGGCAGGGACTTGGCCCTAGAAAAATGCTTCTCCCCCTTCAGCTGCATGACCAGGCAGTGAAACAAGACTGGCTCTGATCCTGGGCCCAGGAGCAATTTCTTCCTGCAGAAACCAAGAGTTGCCGGAACCCAGGGAGCCACAACTGGCAGGCACAGCGATGCTGTTAAAGTCTACTAGTACGGAGTGGACAGCTAGTTCAGATGCTTTGTCCCACACTGGAGTGCCTGGGTTGTGTTCCCAGCGCTGGCTCCTGACTCCAGCTTCCTGCGAATGTAAGACCTGGGAGGCAACAGCTCAGGCAGACAGGTCCCTATCACCAGCCTGGGAAACCTGGGTTGAGTTCCTGACTCTCAGCTTCGGCTCCAGTTCAGTCCCAGACATTCCTTGCATTTGGAGAGCTGGGATCTCCTAACAGCACACATTTACTGCAAGTTTAATACGTGTCAGGCACTGTGTTGTTTTGTCTGTGATGTAATCTTCACAGCATTCTCATGAGGTGTGTGCTATTACTATCCCTAATGTCCATCTGGAGAAATAGGATCGGAAAGGTTGACTTGGCTGTAGCCAGCTAATAGGTGATAGAAAAAGAACTCTTAGCCAATATCCTGTACTTGTAACCCTGTCCAACACTAGTGAACATTAACGTATACAATCCCAAGTTCCTTTCATTGTTTCAGGAATTTAAAAACTAGAGAAAGCTTTCTTATGATTTAATATTTTATTAATATAAAGAGAGCAGATTTTATATATTTCATAGATCTAATTCTAAGAAAACGACCATACTTCCCTCTCACCCTCCCTCCCCAATATTCTCACCTTCCCTCTTTTTCCCTCCGTTAATTTTTGCAACAATGTAATTTCAATTTGCTACATAATTACAGGTTTACTATAAACATCTAAAAAAATCTGCTCTTTAAATTCAAAGCCCTGCAAGATTTTACATGTATTATTCTAAAAGTATTTTGATTCTTTATTATCTGTTGCTATATCTGTATTATAATGTGGAACATAAAGGTGAAGCATGATGTACTAACAGTTTGTTAGGAAACTGCAATGCTATTAAAACAAGGATTATTGTGATTTTGGGGGAACCTAGATTAGAAGATGTATGTGAAAATTTGAAGAAAAAATTTAAGAACTACAAACATACATGCTATTTTTTTCTTTTAAAATGAAAATGTTCCTATTAATTAGTATTTTTTTTTAGCATGGCTCTTGATTTAGATACATACTATTTCTTCCAGGAATCAAAGATTTGGGCCCATGGGCACGTTTTTAACATTTTTTGAAGTTTTTATTTACTTATATGAGGAAGGGGGAGGACTCCTCCCATCCACTGTTGGCTTGCCTGATGCCTGCAGTGGCTTGACTGGGCTGGACCCACTGCAGCAGCACGGGGCTCAGTCCAGGGCTCCCACACGGGTCTGAGCCTTCATCTGCTGCCTCCTGCAGGGGACATGAGCAGGAAACTGGAATCGAAAGCAGAGCCAGTACTCAAATCCAGGCACTCCAGCAGGGATGTGGACATCCCAGCTGGCGTCCTAACTGCTAGGCCAAATATCTGTGCTGCTTGTGGCCCTGTTTGATGGACAAGCAAGTGTCCGTGTCACAGAAGTAATCTCTGATATTCTCTCCTAGGTGTTCACCTTGCTGTGGATCGCCGACTGGATGGTCCACCACTTCTGGAGGAAAGGAAAGGACCCCGATAGCTTCTCCATCCCGTATCTGACAGCGCTGGGGGATCTGCTTGGGACAGCCTTGCTGGCCTTAAGTTTTCATTTTCTTTGGCTTATTGGAGATCGAGATGGAGATGTGGGAGACTAATAAATCCTACAAATGGCTCTCAGATTGCGAAGGAGGAAAACACAAAACAACCACTTCTGGCTCTTTTTCAAACCTCTTAAATCAGTACTTTGATTTCTGCCAGGGAGGGCTTCAGTTGGCCCTGAGATTCAATTAAATGGCCTTAAGGAATTTGTGTTAAAAACAGACTGAATAGTATTTGTGGTACTTTTGGTAGAATAGATGATCATTTGACATAGATATAAAAACAAGCTCCAACTTTGAAATTAAACAGGAAAGATTTAGAATGCTGACAATGAATAATTTTGAAACCACATATATAGCAGAAATAGATTTGCTTATTGTTGAATTGACAATGCAAGTTTAGAGGAACTATCTCTGAGTGACTCACAAATGTATGTTGCTGTAAATACCAGACAAGATTTCTGGTATTTTTAATTATGCCTACTTCTGCACTCCCTGAGAATAAATTCACCATTATTTGTTCCTAAACTGATCTAAATAATCCTGACGAGCACAAGATTAACTCACTTTTGCCTGTGTCTAACATTACCCTGTGCCAATGCTAACTTAATTTCAATTCTGCAAAGTTCTTGGTAGGCTACCCTTTACTTAAGCATAAAACAATCTTGAAATAGCTTAAATAGAAATCAGTGAACCACTTTTTAATTATTGATTTGTTGAAGAAGGTGGATATTTTTCAAACAACCTTGATAGTCAAAAGCAGGAGATAACCTGAGAAGCGTTTGTAGAGACAAGATGACTTGAGGAATTATATGTGTTTTGATACAAATCTAAGTCTTGGATGATTGATAGTGAAGATGATGACACATCACTGTTGGAAAATCAGCATTATAGAGCAGGTCTTAAACACATGTCTTTGGTATGCTGTTATCATTTGGCATGAAAATTTTACCACCAACCAAAACACATCTATTACCTACTTTATACTTAACAGCTTCTTCTTATTTAAAAAAAATGTACTATTTAAAATAATTAAGTTACAAGATTTAGAATGAGCAAATGATTCATATGCCTTTTTTATATGCCCTTTTTAAGGAATCCTGCTATTTACCCTTTTCAAAGAGAAATTGGTGAGTTCCCTCACTTGTTATTCACATGTACACCTATCTGTTTGCAAAGGCTTATCTCTACATGGGACCCTAGCATATACCCTGCTCTACTTCTCTGTTATTTTTCATGAACTCTAGCTCAATGTGCTAAATATCCAGTACGTTAGTTATTCAATAAATGAGCATTTCCACACCACACGTAGCTCATTACTTAAAATGCAGTGCAATCTCTAAAAGACCTTTATATATTTAATAACTTAAACTGGCAAGGAAATAATAAAACATGCACATTAACTTTGGTTGCTACGGTTCTAGCTGTGGGTTAGTGTTATGTAAATGGTGGGTTGTAACATATTGGGAAAGTATTAAGCTCTTTAAATGGGCTATGGTTTAGAGTTATATATATTTGCTTACTTTGGGAACTTTAATTATTCCATTATTCTGCCTGATAATTAAGCTTTTAAGGCAGAGAACTGAGCTAATTATACAATTTCTCCTTTGGAGAGTTATAATGTTATATAGTAAACATTCTTATAAAAGAAAGAATGGTTAAATTTCAGTTGATGACTATTTAGTTGCAAAAATTTTTTATATTTTTAAATCCACGAGTGAGATCTTTGATTTTACTATAAAGCACTTGTAGATTGTTTACATTTGATCTGTATGACTCACAATCATCTACATTTTTTTCAGTGATTTGTTATGATTTGTTTTAGCATCAGAGTGAGTTACATCATTAAAGCGTTAAGCAACAATTGGTGCAGTACATACACGTTCAATGCATTGCATCGCTTACCACTCAAACAGCCTAGTATTCTTGTATGTGTTTCATAGCACATAAAACTGACACTCAGAGGAGTTATATTTCTGAAATGCATAGCTGCAGTGTCACCAAGTTGTGACATCCTTGGAGTCCAGTCTTCTAGGCTAGACTTCTTATAATATCCACCTGTGATCCTCCGAATTCACTGAGGGAAACCGACTGAGGAAACAAGTTTTCTAAAGGAGTACCACTATGTCTTTTAGATTTCAGGTAGGGAAACCTCCCTTGAACATGTCTTCATAGCAAGGATAACCAACTGTCAATTATTGTGTTCCTAGGAGCTAGGAAAACAAAAGAGTATTATTTTATTTTGTAAAATAGTTTCCATTTTTATAAATTAAAACTTTAGAGTAAAAAATAATACCTTATTTCACAGAATATATTATATTCATCACTGTGTATCTTGTCATTTGCCCAAAGTAACAGCAAGCATATTACGACATATCCAAGTTTTGTCCTTTCTCTTTTGCTATTCAACCTTGTGGTTACAGCAACAAAAAATCTAAAAGACATGCAAGGGAAAAGGGGGAAATTTATGCCTGATTAGGTCAGTTAATTATGAAAGGCATGTTGATTCATTTTTTAAAAGTATTTTTTGAAAGCCTTTCCATATGCATGTAACCATAAGATGAGCTCTTTTATTTGCCCACAACATAATTTATTATCAGCCCTGTTTGTAATTTACAGTATTTATTTTTATGCACCATAAAAACTCTGGCTCTATGGACTTCCTCCCTATGCTAATTTATGAGGCACTTTATTCATAGACAAATAACCTTTTTAGCACATTTTTCATTCTTGCCCACCAGCTACTTTTTTTTCTTTCAGAAATAAAATTTTGTAGGACTTGAGATAATGGAGACTTAAGCTAATGTGTCTTCTTGGAGACATCAAGAAGTTCCACACCACAGACCATCAGTGACTTAACTAAATGAGATAGAGGTTTAATCGTCTTTCAATAATTGGACTTTCTTGCTTTATTCTGTGTCTGTTGTATAGTATACCCATTTATGATGGGTTCCTGTCACCTTCGAATCATTGTAAACTCAAAAATAAACTTTGAGAAAAATTGACCCCGGCCTTGTCCTGCTTGCTTCTTGATGAACCAGCCAACATGGCTTCTGTAGGAAACCTCCCAGCACAAATTAGGCTGACCGGTGGTTCATGTTTTATTTAGGAAGTGGAATAAACTGGACTTTTGCTGGACCTGAACCTCTACTCCATTGCTTTACCGCTTTTTGATAATTAAATAGTCTCTTCATTCCCTCACTCTACCTTTCATTCTCTGACTTAAGATCCATGGTCCATCAGTGCATTCGCCTGCAACTGACTCCTTCATACTGGCCAGACAGCACCAGCTCTGGTTGAGCACAGCTTGCCATCAATGCCTTGTCTGTTCCTAAGCAGCTATACATGCCTCGTGAAAAGCACCGTGCTAGCGGTGTTTTAAGTTTATACCTTCAGACACAGTAGGTGAAACTGTTGTTTGGGAGACCCACATCCAAGTGCCTGATAAAATCCTGTCTCCTCTGCTTTTGATCCAGCTCCCTGCTACTGTGGCTGGGAATGCAGCAAGCACTGTGCCAAATGCTTGGGTCCTTGTTACCCATGAGATGCTGGGATGGAGTTCCTAGCTCCTGGCTTCAGCCTGGCCCACACCTGGCTGTTGCAGCCATTTGGGGAGTAAATCAGTTGGTGGACAATCTGTTCCTTTTTCTGACGCTCCTTCTCAGTTTCTATATTTTAAATAAATCTTTGGGGGAAAATTTATAAAATATTTTTAAATGTTCTCACATAAGGACAGGGGTCCTTTTTAAGGGGCACCAATAAGTGGCTGCTAAAGTTATTCTATTTTGATTTTTACATAGTTGGCAAGAATGGGAAGGGTTGAGGACTTAGGGGAGTGAGGGTGAGATCATTGTTTCCAAATCTTGCTTTGCTTCCTCCTGTACCTGGGGAAAAAAGGGGAATTAGGGGAGAAACCATGCCTAGCCTTCCTGCTGCCAACCAATGCCGCCCCAGAGTTCTCCAAGGGTTCTGCTCAAGCGGTTTCAATAGCTGTGAGATGCTGTCGATTTCTGATTTAAGGATGAAGAAATCCTTCCAAGGTCCATCTGCTGACACAGTCTACCCCAGAGTCTCCATTTGCACAGATATTTGTTATCAATGCATGGCTGGGGGCAGTTAAACAATGCATGTCCTTAAATATGTTTGTATGTAACCATCTATATATTGAGGTGGACACGAATTCATGCTGTCTCCAGCTCTCCTCTATCACTACATGGATTGTTCTAGGCTCTTGCTTTTTTTTTTTATTGTTATGTTTTTATTGGAAAGGCGGATATACAGAGAGGAGAGACAGAGAGGAAGATCTTCCGTCCGATGATTCACTCCCCAAGTGAGCCGCAACGGCCGATGCTATGCCAATCCGAAGCCAGGAGCCTCTTCCGGGTCTCCCACGCGGGTGCAGGGTCCCAAAGCTTTGGGCCATCCTCGACTGCTTTCCCGGGCCACAGGCAGGGAGCTGGATGGGAAGCGGGGCTGCCGGGATAGAACCGGCGCCCATATGGGATCCTGGGCGTGCAAGGCGAGGACCTTAACCACTGCGCCACCGCGCTGGGCCCTAGGCTCTTGCTTATCTGTAATCTCTCCAACAGTAAGCAGTCTGGCTGGTTCTCTCCATCCACCATCCACTTAACGATTGAATTCTAGTATGTATGTATAGAGTATCAGCGTTCTTCTACACTCCTGTGGGATATCCACAAAATTCTATTTGTGTAATGGTCAGATATTTCAGTTCGTAAGAAACACATAAATATAGGTATTATTGGGGTACAGTGTGTACAGATTTAGGATAATTAGCATGTTCCTTATCATTTCTTTATGTGTGCACCCTGTAAGCCTCTTCTGTCGAGTGTGCATTGTGATGTAGCAAATGCAGCTACTACAGCCTGTACCAGGGTGCCAGTTTGAGTCCGAATCCTTTACCTTTGATCCAGCTCTCTGTGAAGGCACCTGGGAAAGCAGCTGATGATGGCCAAAGGACTGAGCTCCCACATGGGAGACCCAGATGGCGTTCCAGGTTCCTGGCCTCAGCCGGGTCCAGCCCCAGCTCTTATGGATGTTGGGAAGTGAATAAGTGCATCAAAGACCTTCCCCTACCACTCCAAGTCTCCCTCTGTCACTCTGCCTTTAAGTAGATAAATCTTATTAAATTGTCTCTTGTTTATGTGATGTCGTCTTGCTGTGTTGTCTCATAGTTTGCAGTGAAAAGACTTATGAAGGAACAGTTTACAGAGGAAAAAGAAAGCTTACACAGCACAAGGGGAGAGGGGCCTGGGGAACCAGAGCAGCAGCAGCAAAAGCTATCCACAATTAAGTGGGAATAGGAAGAGAGAGAAGTGCCTGAGTTGGAGCACTCACACTAGGTTGGGGGGAAGCTTGTGTTCACTAAGATAGGATGGGCTGATTCTCCCAGATCTCTGGCTTCACTGTACCCCAACATGGGTCAGGGTGTCCCCTCCACCCCACAGTGGCCGTCACGAACTTAGAGCCTCTTGTGTGACTGCAGAAAGGAAAGAAAAGGCGTGGAGAATTGTGCCTTTTTAGGTACCAAGTATAAAAATGACTTCTTCCTGTGGTCCAACTGATGTGCAAGGGAAGCTGGGAAATGTGGTCTTCCTGTCTGGTAAGAAGAGGAGAAGGAAATGAAGTAGTGTTGAATGGGAACATTTGTCTTGCCACAGGATTTAAGACACTGTATTCACATATTCAAGGAAGACATGACACAGAGACTCAGAAGGCTGAAGGGTATGAAACTGGCTGAGAACTCAAGAAACAGAAAAATACAGGCACAATTACTCAGCTATCCATTGTAACTCCTCAGCACAGGAAACCTACTCGACTTCTTTGGGCTCTGCTGTGCCATCAGCTGCGGTCACGGGACAGGCAGGATCTCTGGGCCCAGGGTTGGTTCTGCCAGTGCTGTAAGTGCTCTGGTAAGCAGGAGCCATGGAATGGCTGGCATCCCTGGAGCACATGCCAGGCTGACCCGCGGGTCCCAGGGAAGGCAACCTTCTGAAAGGTCAGGGAATGAACCACCCAGAATAGACCAGAAGCAACCCTGGCCTTGCACTTGACACATGACTCTATTCAGTTCCTTTTAGCAGAAGGAGAATGTGCAAAGTTACAGATTGTAAGATGAGAAAAATATGTGGAAAGTGAATCCTCCAACCATGGATGGCTCTCAAGACAGTAAATTTTCAGATTGTTTAGAAAAGAGGATATTCTTGGCCTTTGACCAAATTCCCTTTTCCCCTCAGATTAAAATGACAGCTTAAATGGCGTAGAATCAGAGGCAGGATCCAGCTTTGGAGCTTCTTGTGGGAATAACATAAATTCTGTCTGGATTTGATGATGTTGGCCCGTATTCCATGGGTAGCTTTGGGCTCAGGAGGGACAGATTTTACAGTCTCCCTTGGGTTCAGCCAGCTGAATGAGAAAACCAGTCTTTCAGAGGCCACTTGTATTTGTGCCTGAAGGTGGCGATCACGTGACTCTGAGATGCTGATTTTTCCCTGTGTTGGCGTTCTGTGTTTCTTAGTGAATTAGCAGGTGACACTCATTTCATTTGAACAGTATGGTCATGCATGTAGTGTGTGTGTGTGTGTGTGTGTAGGGGGGGTGGGTATATATGATTGTTACATCTAGACTTGATGCTCTGACTACACACATTGGAATACATCAGATAAAGCATCAGGCAGACAGGTGGCTTGCACTCTGCACTCCCTTGGGCTTGTTATGAATACTTGCTGTGTCTTCTTGAAATGACATCCTCTGAAAATGGTGCCCTGGTGCTATAGCTCTGGATGATAGACAAACTTGTGATACATTCAT